TGTCATTACGCCTGAAATCCTTGTAGTACTTGATAATATTTATCATTCATAATACCTTGCTTATGTGAAGTCATCAAAAAAAACGATATCGTTTTTATATAAATGCTAAAAACTAATCATATTAAATTAAATATTAATACCGATTCTAATAAAAGGTAGTGGAACATACGATCCCATTCGATCCTAACCGCTTATATGAAAGACTAAATTACTAGGTTAATGCGTATATGAAATTTGGTAGAAATGTTAGTTAATAAAATATTGTACTGATACGTAGGTATTTAACAATCATGTGATCTAATCATATTAATTCATCGCGACTGTCTTTATTCGTTGATCGGATGATAATTAAAAAAATAAACCATTTTAAAATGGAAACATAATAAAGCATGGCGTCGAAACAGCTAATTACTACGATTATATATATTTACATATATTTTTACGTAGATTTTTTTAAATTTAATCGTAATAATTATGTATACGTAAAGCATACATTACGATATTCTCGAATAAATAATTAGTGTGGGTTTTTGGGGATTCACTTCCTAAAAATAGATAAATGATACCGATAAAAAATAATTGTTACCGTAAACCTCGACATAACGAAAGTTTGTGCGTTAATTCGAGTGTGCCATTCTGCTTTGCAAGATATAAGACAATTTTCCAAGGCGTCTATTACTATATATAAGTCTGTTGATATATCGTTTGAGATGTGCGTTATTTCGGGACGCTCATAAGCATTGTTTTGAAATTAACTGCGCTATTCTTAAAGGATCCGATTTTCGAAATAACGTACATTATCATTATTCCGGGATTTACACTAATCGCGAACAGCCCACAATTTACCTGGAATTGTGTTGAATGGTGAAGTAGTCTTCAGCAAAATAAGCTATACAATCAATACGATGAGATTTTATTTAAATATTTAAGTTCAGTAAAATCCACTAATTTTATAATACATACCACACCTTTCCCCTTATACCAAGATACCTCATTAGGATTTAATATTACGACAGAAAAGCCCAATTCTAAAACGCATTTTGCATAATTGATCATTGAGCCATCCTTTATGATGAAGGTTTGAATAAAAAAATTAGTAAAAAAAAACCCTTGAATATACTTTAACAGAAATGTCTATGAGAGTTCTCCACGACCAGATACCGACTCTGTAATTTAATTTTAGATCAATTCATAAGGTATATCTATTAAAAAATTATGAAATCGAATGATTTTTACTCACAAATGAGCAGTCCAGGAATGAATATTATCATCTTGTCATTAGTTTCATGATTTGGCCTAAAATTGTTTTACAATAATAACTAATAACAAATATGTGTTCTATCCACATAAGTTTGGTAAATCCTGGTATGTATATCAGTCTCTGTAGTGACAAGAGGTATCTTTTTTATAAAACCAAGTTCTTTTTGGAGCTTCGATCGAAGAGCCCAAAAGTTCTGTAAATTTATAAAGGGCTCAGACAAATCAAATAAGTATATAAAAATTCAAGCAGTAAAAAAAAAGAGAAGTACCCACTATAATATCATACAAACACTCATTATAAACCGTCTTTTATTTCAAATTGTAAATTTCGCCGTCTATGAGACGCAATATTAGATCACTAAGAGTAACTTGACGTATGAAATCTAAAAGATCACCTATTGATACAAGTTGATTTTTCATCAATCTTATACCAAAGTGCCTCCAAATCACGAGAATATCATAAGGAACTTTTATAAATTCGACGATATAGAAAACTATTGATTAATCACATGAAATTGAATGATACTTAATAAATTAGAGTTTTTGAGATTGATTATAACTAGAAAAAACTACATTAATAAAATTTATTACACAAGACCAATATTGAATCCATATAGTGTATTGGCTTATTCATGATTATACACACAGGCGACACTGGGTTCGAGATCTAGTGTTGTATATTCCTCCGTATAGTTGTTATTCGCGCATTTTTTTTTGATCCGGGTCAAAGATCTTCTCCAGTATCGCTACCAAAAAAATTACTGACACGTGATATACTGTGGTGCGCGCCTCAAGAACTTTAGCCAATAGAATCAGCACGAAGCTGTAAAAATTATGGATTATAAAAAAAATTTTTGTTGGCGTTTTTGCGTACTTTTTTTTATTATACGTATAAGGTAAAAAGGGATAATTTGGCGCGGTTCCGTTTATTTCACCGACAGTATAGTACCGTAAATTGCCGCATAAACCAGTGTTGTTAAATTTGCATGGTCATTTGTCTTTTCGAAATGACTTTTGTTAGGTCATTTAAATTTCATATATAAAAAGTCATTTCAGGTCATTTTTTAGGTCATTTAACAACACTGGC